CACCCAGATACAGAATGTGCTGAAAAGGAAGGCCGAAATTCTTGATGAATACGAAAATAATGCACCCGGGAATCGTAAACGAAAGGTTCGAAAGACCGGCAATGAAGAAATAAATCGTCTGACTTGAGAATGGTTCAAGGATGCCATGGCAAGAAAAATTCCAGTCAGCGGGCCTTTGATGCAAGAACGCGCTCTTTCCTTCGCAAGCGATCTCGGAGTTGACGACTTCAAAGCATCGAATGGCTGGTTGGACAGTTTTCGAAAGCGTCACAACGTTGTATTTAGTATGACTGGCGAAAGCGGTGACGTGAATAATGAAATTGTCGAACAATGGAAAGATAAATTACCATCACTACTAGATGGCTATGAACCCAGAGACATTTATAACATGGATGAAACTGGACTTTTCTACCGGGCGACTATGAATAAAACTTTATTTGTGAAAGGCGAACAGTGTCGTGGTGGAAAGAAATCTAAAGAGAGACTGACAGTCATGTTATGTGCAAACATGGTAGGCGATAAAGAGAAGCCATTAGTTATCGGAAAATCCACCAAGCCACGCTGCTTTAAAAACATCAAGTCAAAGAATTTATCTGTTGATTATTACGCTAATAAAAAGGCATGGATGAACTCGAAAATATTTGAAGACTGGCTTTGCAAATTTGATCGCAAGATGAGACGCCAAGGAAGAAAAATATTGCTCTTTGCCGATAATGCGCCATCACACCCAACGATCAACCTCAAGAACATTAAACTTCAATTTTTACCAGCCAACACTACGTCTAAATCACAACTGATGGATCAGGGGATTATTCAAACTACGAAGCTGAAATACAGAAAACGTCAGCTCCGTCACATCGTATGAAGAATGGACGAAGACAAGGCAAAGTATGGCAGTGAATTTTTGAATGAAATTAACGTCCTGGATACAATCATGTGGATCAGCCAGTCGTGGAAAGAAGTCGAAGTCTCAACTATAGAGAAGTGTTTCAGTGCCTGTGGTTTCACCAGCAATGCAGAAATTACTGGTAAGTTATTTTTTCTTTTTATATTTTAATGTTTTTTTTTGACTCCCATGTGCGAAGCACAAAATGGGAGTCTTTGCAGTTGGTGTGTCTGTATGTGTATGTGTGTATGTGTGTCCGACTGTTCCACTGCTATCTCAAGAACCATACATCGGTTTTTGATGAAACTTGGTGCATAGATGCTCTGGGCTAATGCACAGATTTGATTAGGTTTTGGTAAAAATCCATGCTCGTTAATTACCTAATTTGCATGATAATTAGCTAATTTTTAGCTGTTCTATGACTGTTCCACTGATATCTAAAGAACCACTCATTGGATTTTGATGAAACTTGGTACATAGATGCTCTGAACATATGCGCAGATTTGATTAGTTTTTGGTAAAAATCTGTGCATATTAATTACCTAATTTGCATGATAATTAGCTATTTTTTAGTGGTTCCATGACTGTTCCACTGATATCTAAACAACCACTTATTGGATTTTGATGAAACTTGGTACATAGATGCTCTGAACTAATGCTAGGTTTTGATTAGTTTTTGGTAATAATCCGTGGATACTAATTACCTAATTTGCATAATGATTAGTAAATTTTTGGTTTTTCCACTGATATCTCAAGTACTAATCATCACATTTCAATGAAACTTGGTACATAGATGTCATATGACACTGCACAGACCTGATAGTTTTTATGGTAATATCAGTACATATAATTACC